GGCTTGGCCCTCAGCCTCGGTTCAGAGTGAGCACGATCCTCAGCCAACGCACAGTGAACATGTAGCTTGAGTGAGACATAAATCTTTTTTGGTTGAAAACACTGAGGTCTTACATTTGTTTCTCACCTCAGCATAATCTATCCTATCCTAACTGATATACCTCATACTATTACTTCCACACTGACCCATACCAAGGCTGAATGTACTGTGACCAGAACAGCTGACACAGTCTTGCTTGGGGAAGACTTGCAGCAAAGTGAATCCCCTCGGTCCCAGCTCTGAACAACCCCATTGAGCTCCCTTTCCCAAGGAGCATGTGTTGAGCTGTCAGTCTCACAAGCAAGAAGTCAGGAAAGCACTCTCTCATTCCAGGCCTGGGTTTCCTCAGACAGTGTTTATCAGTAGAAATGATGTTTAGGTGCAAGTGATAATAACCCATCTGACTCTTAAATTAATGTGATAAAATAGTTATTATTTTCTCAATGAGAAATACAGGGACTTGCAGTCATCGAGTTGACTTGTGGATTCAACAATTTCATCAAAGAGCCAAGCCCTTTTTATCTTTCTGTTCTCCGGTCTCAGTTGGCTAGCTATTCACCTCTGGTTTGGTACCTCTGGTTGCAAGATGCTGCCAGCTGCCACCGCTAGAGGCATCTTATTTTCACATAACAGCGTCCAAAGCATGAAAACCTTTTCTCCATGCCATCTTTTTTTTTTTTATTTTCAAATCAAGGAAGAGTCTCCCAGCAGACTTTTCCTTAGGTCTTCTGGTCTTGTTGGCCAGATTCTGCAATGCAGGCTCGCCACCGGGGATTGCAGGATTGGCTTAGAGAACTCTTGATGAATTCTCTGGTACTGGGTATATTGCTGTTCCAATGAAATCATGATTCTATTAGAAAAAGAGAGGAGGGAATGGCTGTTGTATAGGCAGCCAATATTTCACTTGGGACAAAAAGCCCTGGTCAAGTAAATTTGGGAAACATCGAGTTAAACAGGTTTTGTTACTATAGAATATCTTAAAATAATCTTCTAATATACTCGTGTGTATTGTGAACTTCCTAGAGAGAAATAAGCTGTGAGGCATCTCCCAGACTTGTTCCATTAGATGAGTTTTTGTAGAGAGCATTTTATTGCAGTCATAATAGAATTGCCGCAGTATTTTTGACCCTAATTAACTGGCAGTTCATAATGTTTTCACCTGAGTTGTATGGATGTTTTTCTTTCGTGTCATCTGTAATAAAGCGCGTTTATCAAAAAATTATGGCTACTATAATTGAAATTTTTTGTTTACCTAATTACAGAAAACTAAATATTCACTACTATATTAATTATTGCCTGATAAGTGGTGCTAATTACAATGTCCAAACTAGTCATTAATAGGCTCAAAAATAGACCTCTATTTGAAATAAAAGAAGTTCAATTAAATTTCTCCTTTAAATTAAAGTATAGCTCTTAAAGCACCATGGGTCAAACAATCAGGATAGCAAGTGTCAGATATTAACAAATAATATAATCCTGCATTACTTTGAGATGTTTTAAAATTTAGTATTTCTCATATATTCTAGCTTTTAAGTTTTCTTCCTCTCTATTCTCTATTCCAGGTAGGAGATCCTAGTCATCCACAGCAGACTGAGGATCTCACCTCTCCCACTTGCCTCCCCTCACGTGCAACACCCTAACCCTAAACTGCACATACATACTACAATACAAGACACCTCAACATATTAGGCTTTGAATAAATATAAAAATCTCTTTCCTTGATATCAAGCAAATAGCTAAGGATAATAAGCTAACATAGCTATTTTGTGACATGCAGTTTCTAATACTAAATTTCATTAGTTGCATTAAGTTTTTGTGCTAATTTAAATGTCAATATTGTATAGAAAATTTAATATTCTTTGACAACATAGCTGTAAGAGTCTTATTTACTTTAATAGTTTATGAGAAGTTCTTCATATGCTACAAGATAAAAACTTGTTACAATTAAAAAGGATTTGAAGAAACCTTCCATAAAGCTGAGTTATTTAACACAAACATGTGTTTATTTTTTGGCAAATGTGCATTTTCTTTTTGAAATCTACATAGTAATTTTTAAAGCATAATTTCAGAAACATATGGCTTAACTGTTCTACACAGGTGCTACATGAGCTGGAGAACATATTGGCTTGTATGCATTCAAGCATATGTTTCATCCTATCTTCTTACAACAAACATTATAGACTTCCTGCTATTATACAGGAACATGCATTGGCCTTGATATCACCTGCTCTTTTAGTAGAGAGACTTATAAGGAAACTTGGGAGGTTATAAAATCTACAGGAAATAAATACAATGTTGACTTGTTATAAGGTGATGAGTTGGTAAGGAAGCAGTTAAAGAAAAACTTTATGACTGTAAGTAGAATGAGATAACAATGTGTTGCCTTTTAGCTCTTTTTTATTCCTCTCCCGCAGCCCTTTTGCATTTGTACAAAACCTAACTCCATGTTTAAAATTGTTTCTCACCCGTTACTTTAATCACAGCTCTAGTTTTCAAGAGTATGACAGTAAATGTACCAATAAGAATAAACTAATAATAACAGTAGCTTACATTGGATAAGTGGTCACGTGGCAGGCTCTGGTCTAAGTGTGTATCCCACTTAATCTTCACAACAAACCTAAGTGGCCAGTACTATTATCACTTCCATTTATAAATGAAGAAAACAAAGCACAGAGGTTAAGTAACTTGCCAACATCACCCAAGAGTCTAGGTGGGGTTCTAACCATTACCTTACACTCATTTACCACGACGATAATAAATAACAACCACCTCTCTAAATACAAATTATTCCAGGAACTTCATTATCTCACTTCATCTTTATAGCCCTGAGAGTAAGATAACATCCCCGTTCTATAGATGAAGAAACCAAGTTTCCAAACATTGAATAACTTGCTCAAGGTCACATGCTGCTACTTGGCACTAAACCACCTCCTTGTAAGTGTCAGAAGATATCTGGACTTAGCTGCAGCTGAGGCTTTTAACATGTTAGTGATAAGAAGATGATGCTTCATTTGAACTACACGGTGGTGTGTGCTGGGACTAAGAGAGAGGGGGAAAGCTGAGGCCTCATAAAGAAAAAGGCAGAACAGAGAGCAAGAATGGCGATGCTATTAGAATATGGTGCCCTCTTGCACCTTGAAATGGCTTGAAAGCGAGACTTACTGCTGGAGGGGCTATGTTCTAACGCTTAGACTCTAGACAAAAGCTGTACTGCTAGAAGAGAGAATCCAAAACTTTCTGTAAAGGGCCAGATGGTAAATATTTCGCTTTGTATGTCATAGATCCTCTGTCACTATTGCAACTCTTGCCGTTTTAACAGGAAAGCAGACACAAACAACAAGTAAATGAATGGCCATGGCTGTGTCTAGTAAAAACCTATTTATAAAAACAGGTCGTTGGTGAGTGTGCGGCAGGCTGGAGTGTGCCGGCTGCTGCTCTGGCATCTGGGGTGGGTGCTTTGGAGTGTTGAAGACCAGTCCCTAAGTGCAGTCATTGCCTTTCCCATAAATTAGTGCGGACAGCAGGGCAGTGGGGAAGCCCTTCTAAGTAGCTTCAGGGTACCAGATATTAGCCAGATGATAAAGGGGCACCACTTTAGAAATGAAATTTTGCACAACTTCCAATGAATATATGATTTGAAGCAGAGGGAGACTCAGTAATAAAGTTGACATCATCATTAATGACCATGCCAACATACTATATTTTATTCCCAGACAGAAGACATGTGAATTGATTGTCCCAAGCTCCCTTCAATTCTCCATTAACTTCTCTCTGTTTTTTTCTTCCCTTTTTATGTGGGCTTGGCATGTTTATCAGTCAGTCTGAACTGATGGGATATATTCCTGAAATGGTTCTATTTTCTACTTTCACAGACCTCAACTCTGTGATGTCAAATTTCCTTCTCCATAGGTAGCAGATCCTGTCTGGCCACTTTTCATTTAAAGGCATAAATAAAGTTATACTAAGTTGAGGCATAACCACAAGGAGAATAATTATTTTAGCTTGAAAATGCATTTTTATCTACTCATACCTCATGGGACATAGACTAAGACAACAAATCTTTCATTGCATTCAGTAGTCTTCTTCTTAGTAATAATATTAGTATTCATATTTTGAGAATATATTAGGAGTATTTTCATAAAGCAAATGTTAATGTCTTTAGGAACTAAGTTTTAGCAAAATAAAAGGAATGCAAATAAAAAGTTAAGTTAAAATGCTATACTCTTTAATTGAATAGGAAATCAATATCCTTTTTTTCTTTCTAAAATTGTTTGGAAAGCTTTTTTTCACAGAAAAGAAATAGAGGCATTGACAAACCAATATCAATTAGCAAACAAGACAGAAAAGATTTTAGTGCTAAATACCAAAATCTAGGTTCCTTGTAGAAATTGCTGGTACCATACTGGGACAAGAAATGTACAAGATAACCTGAGATTCTTCATTGTAAGTGAGAGCAAAGAAGCTATCAAAGACTATTGGTCATATTAAAATAACACGAGGGCCACAATTTCCCTATTTTGGCCAGTGGAAAATTCATATAGCATAATATTAGCCAGATCCTTCCACTTTGCATCTATCTAGGGTGATTCAAACTATAATTGTCTCTTTAGAGAAATCCATGTCCTCACCCAAAGGAGGAATAGAAGGAAGTCTTCTCAACATTGAAGAGCAAAAGGACCATAATAGTTGCCATCCAAGTTCAGATCTATGGTGCCTCTGACCTAGAGATTCTCACCCCTATTTGCATATTAGAATCACCTGTGGGCTTGGGCTCTAACTCTACAAGATTCTGAGGAACTGTTCTCGGAGGGGACATTGTATGTGAGAAGCTCCCCAAATGATTCTCAAGTGCAGCTGGCATTAGAGAGCACTGCAATTTGATCATGGCTCTTATCTGTGCTGGTCTGGGAGGAGGCTAGTGGAACAGGAATGAGAGAATATCCTTCAGGAAACACACCTGTAAACCACCAGCACCAGCATAACAAGTCACGGAATGCCAGACATGCCGCATCAGATTGTATCCTTATTTAATTATCTGAAAAACACTATAAGGAATGTACTATTATTATTTTTACATATGAATAAACTGAAGACAAAGAAGTTAAATAAATGACTAGTGTCACAGAGCCAGCAAATAGTGAAGGCTGGACTCACACTAGGTCTGCACAAATGCAAAGCCCATGCCATTCATCATGTGTATGTCAGATACATTTTCTTACTGCTTCTTAGCTAAGAACAGGCTGCTGTCTGGGTTGTGCAGATAACTGCTCAGTGTCAGCCGTTGGCGACAAAGATTTTCTTTATTCTTCATCAAAGAGCCACATCTGAGGACATGAACACAGCCAGGATTGTTTTTACAGGAGATGTATGAAGGCATAGATTATTGTAACTTACTTGGTGTATTGCAAACGATTATTGGTTTTTAGAACCATTATCTAATGTCAGCACTACCTCGTCCCTCAAACAGACAAGGATATTATGTAACCCTCTGATCAAGGATGAAAGGAATGAATTAGCTACTTGCAAATTAAAATATGGTCTTTTATAATGATCTTTATTATACTGTATCAACCCTTAAAGGGGATCTCTTGGGTTTTCCCATATATCTTTGCCTCTTCCACTCTGAGAATTTCAGTTCTAACTATATCTGACAGCTTCCTGGCTAATCTTTTGCCTCCATCCTTTTTTACTTTAATCTAGCCTATTGCTGCCATCTCAATTACTCTCCCATCTTGTCTTTCATTTAATCTCCTATTTTTTTATTTTTATTTTTTTGAGACAGACTCTTGCTCTGTCACCCAGGCTGGAGTGCAGTGACTTCATCGTAGCTCACTGCAACCTCAAACTCCTGGATTCAAGCAATCCTCCTGCCTCGGCCTCCTGAATAGCTGGGTCTACAGTTGCACACCACCATGCCTGGCTAATCTTTCTGTTTTTTATAGAGACGAGGTCTTGCTATGTTGCTCAGGCTGATCTCGAACTCCTGACTTCAAGCAATCTTTCCGCCTTTGCCTACCAAAGTGCTAGGATTATAGGCATAAGCCACCATGGCGTGCCCGATCTCCTATTTTTTAAGGGTAAAATAAAATAATAAAAGGAGGGCCCTGTTCTTCAGTGGTGCTGTGGAAGTGGAGTCTTTCATCTCTGTGGAGGAGGCATGAGAATCTGGAAAACAAATGCTGGAATGATGCCTGGAAGGAGTACTAAAGTCAAGGGTGAAACAGTCAACCCAGATTATTATTCCAAATGGCCAGGTGAGCAATGGATGTGAGGTACAGAGCCCAAGTGAGGAGGACAGAAAGCAAGGACTCAAGTGAAGGGTGGAGGTCTAAATGAATGCCAAGACAAAATGCCCACGATAGCAGCGTCTCTTTGTATGAAATTCGGCATGAGTGTGCTAGGTGTTTCTAAAGGGCCTGGAGTAGTGTGGACACCTCTGATTCCAACACTTGGCATACCTCTGAGGCAGGATGAGCTATTCAGCCCACGTAACTCCTGATGTATCTGACACTGGTCTGGTGGTTGTGTCTCTGAGATTCTAAAACCTCTTCCTCTGATCTTCAGATTTTTCTGTTCTATCAGGTCCTGCTCTGTCTGGGACTCTCCAGAAGGCAGTGGTGCATGATTTCAGCATACAGGGCTCTCATTGGCACCTCATCCTTCTAAACTTTGCAATAGCCCAAAGCCCAGACCAGTTCACAGCACACTGGCCATGTAGCAAGCAGTTAGGAAACAGCCAGCATCTCTGTCTACGGCAGCATTGGAAAGCCTTTGCCCCAGAGTTTCAGTCAGTCTGGAAAATGGAATTCCATCATGCCTTTTGTTTCTCTCACAGCCTATCCAGGAAATAGCAGCCAGCTGAGTATTCATAACAGGGATTTCAACACTGGGAAATAGTTACACAGAACTGGAGAAACAGAGCCAAGCAAGGGCCAGGGAGGCAGCCCAGGGAACCCTAACAGAAGGAGACCACTCGGACCCTAGGCTAAAGGAATGGAGAAGAGGTGGTGCTACTGGCCCCTGGGCAAAGCTGGAAGCATGGCATGGCTGTCCATGAAGGAGATGTAGCTGCTGCTGGAATTGCTGCCCAAGACAGAGAGGGAAAGGGGAAAATACTCTGGCTTCTCCCTTTCTCCTTCCTTGCAGTCTCCCATCAGTGCCTCCCCCTGGCCAAATACAGCCTGCAGGGTCCCCTGAAATACAGAGCAGAGCAGGGAAAAGACCAATCACTCTTCCTTGTGAACCTTCACTACTACTCAAAGTGCAAAGCCCTTAGACACACTTCCTCAGCAGTAGAGCTCCCTGCTTACAGTCCCCACAATTTATCCTTAACTTCTGCCACCCTCATGCCAACCCACCAGGTTGCCTTACGGAGCCTCTCTTCCATTGTAAACATCCTGCTCTATATCCTGAAACTTCTCTTCAAATATTCTCTCTTTCTGACTTGAATTCTGACTCACTCTTAGCAAAAAACCTGGAATCATTCATTCATTCACTCAACAAGGATATATTAAGTGGGAATTATACCGATAACTAACCTTGCCCTGCTGTATGCATTTTACATATATGAAGACTTCCAATTCTCACAACAAACTTATATCTCTTTTGATAGGTGAGAAAACTAAGAATTGGAGTGCTCAAGAAACTTTCTAGTAACATAGTTCATAAGTGGCAGGACAAGGAATCCAAGATGCATCCAGGCTCCAGAAACCCAAGTTTTATCCACCATATGTCACTGTTCTAAAAATGGATATACAGTAGTATCAACTACAGAGATCATCCTTGGAATGGAGTTATAATTAAGAGGGAGAAGATATTTTTAAGTTTCATTTTGTAATAATTTTAGTCTTACAGAAGAGTTGCGAACAGTACAGGGCGTTCCGTATACCCTTCACATTGCTCCCCTAATGTTAATAGCTACACCCCATACGGTATTTGTCAGTACCAAGAAATTAGCATTGGCTCAATACTACTAACTAGACTACAAACTCTAATAGAATTTCACCAATTTTTCCATTAATGTTGTTTTCCTCTTCCAGGATCCAGTCCAGGACACCATGTTGCATTGAATCATTGTGTCTCCTTAGTCTCCTCCAATCTGTGACAGTTGCTCAGACATTCTTTATTTTTTTATGACCTTGACATTTTTGAAAAGTATTGTTTAGGTATTTTGTAGAAAACCTCGCTGTTCGGGTTTGTCTGATGTGTTCACACAATGAGACTGGAGCTATGGACATTTTGCATGAATAACATAGAGGTGAAATACCCTTCTTAATGCATCACATCAAGGATACATGCTATAAACATGACTTAACACTGGTGGTATTGACCGTAATCATTTAGTTAAGGTGGTGTATGGAAGATTCCTCTGCTATAAAGTTACTGTTTTTCCCTTTTCATTTTCTGTTAGTTAGAAGTGAGTACTAAGCCCAGTCCACACTCAAAGGGAGGGAATTAAGCCCCACCTCCTGGAGGAGGGAGTAATGACATTTATCATTTTTAGAATTCTGCAGGAAATATTTGTCCTTTCTCATCTATTTATTCAATCATTTATATCAGTATAAATTCATGGATGTTTGTTTTATTCTTTATATTATAATCCAACACTGTCATTTGTTGCCCAAATTGTTCCAGCTTTGGCCATTGGGAGCTTTTCCAGGTTGACTGTTATGTCCTTTTCACAGGTCCCCCTTTTTTTAAGCCCTTCCTTGCTTTCTGTCACTTCAGGATGCTACAGGCTCATATTGGATTTTCTCACCCCAACCCTCAAATCAGTTGTTTATCCAAAAAGTTCTGGTTCCTTTTATTGGAGAATTTATCAGAAACCAAGGTCTGTGTACCAGAAGAACTTCTAGATCCTGTCTGTGGAAAAAGATATAAAACATATATGGATGGATACTAACCCATGTAAGTACATGTAAAAAGACTTTACATAAATAAAAGCACAAATAGGTTGTTATAAATGCTATGAGGCAAACACCATATTCTTTATAAAAGAATTGTAGGTATCATTTACTATAGATGGGGTAAGGTAGAGGTGACAGTGGTCTTCTATGTAGAGGAATATTATGATGAAATCTGTTAAGTGAGTAGAAGTTAGCCAGGGGAAAGGGCAGAGAGAGAGAGCATTTCAGGTAGAAGAAGCATCATTTGAGGGAATACTGATTTGGAAGTGCTCAGTGCATGGGAAGGCTCGGAAGATGCCCATTGTGGCAAGAGTAGAGTGATCAGGGGAAATGTGACTGCAAGGGGGCAAAGGCTCATGTAGGGCCTTGAAGACCATGGTCAGGACTTCAGATTTTGTCATGAAATGCAATGGGATGCCACTGAAGAGTTTTAAATGGTGGAGGGAGGTGCATTCTACTTCACATAGAAATGTAGGGGCCAGGTGAAATGGGACACCCCCGTAATCCCCCCTGCTGACTGCCAATTTTCTCAGCTCCCTGCCCTACCACCTATAAGCTTTCCTCTGCAGACACCCATCTCCAGGACTCCTGACACGTGGCCATACCTCTCTGGCCCACACCATAGTCTTATCTTTTTGGTCTTTGGATTTCACCAGGCCACATCTATAAAATGCACTCATATGAAGAATACTTCTATACCTTTGCTATAGAACTTGCTCTCATTTGCATTATCTGTTAATTCAGTGAGTCTTTTCTAGGAACTGTATATACAAATGCCTCGCAGAACTCCAGGCTCTACTAAATATTAAGAATAATGTTTCCCTCTTTTTCTCAGTTGCTAAGGTATTTATACACATGCAATTATATTTTCTTCAGCTGTGAATTTTTGATACAATAGTTCTCCCATTTCCCTTCACTGATTATTTGCGTTTAGAGTGTGCTAGGATTATTTTACTATACTTGTACTTTTGTGGTAAGCTAATTGGAGAAATTTTTGAAATTAAGACAATTACAATAAAAGAAGAAGAAGAACCAGCATATTCTCCATTCCATGCAGGAATTTTCCAGGATTCCAGCCACATGGAACCCTGAAGTTGCTTTGTTTTTCTGAACAGCTCTAATTACTGCAAAGTTATTAA